TTAGGGCTTTTTCTTATAAAAAGTATTAATGGATACTTTTAACCACATTCCAGGGGGTATATAGTTTCATCTTTTTTAATCCCAAAGTAATTAGACCAGAAATTCTGTGCTGGAGAGTTCTAGTTTGCATATTCATGACTTGCCTCATACTGAATCTTTGAACATGTCCTTTCATTTATATATTTTATGTCTCCCTGGTTCCTGATCCCTTTCTGTCCCCTTTCCCTCTTTCTGATTCTTCCTTTTCATTCATTCCCACTTTCTTCTTTATCTTTTCAACTCGATTCTCCCCTAAGATATCTGCACCTTCTGTTGTAATGGGAAGCATGGGGGTCATGAAAGAAAATGCAGAAAATATTATTTGGAGTATACATGGCCTCCAGTCCTAGGTTGTAGTACAGTCTTTGACAAGCACCGGAAGTTTCTTCCTCCCTCCACTCTATTTCCTTCATCAATTGCTTACATCAGGTAGCATACATTGCCTTATCAGAAATTCAGTATCGAGATACAGTGTGGCTTAGTGGTTGGAGAGATATCCTGGGCACCAGGGAGACCTGGGTTAAAGGGCTGCCTTTCACACATATTGGCTGTATGACTCTGGGCAAGTAACCCTTCAGTGCTCTAAGGTTTCAACTATTAAGATTATATGGTGCTGATTTGTCTTGAAGGAAAGTTCCTCACTAGTGCAAGTTTCTCACCTTATACTATCACTACTCTAGTCCTTATCTCTGTCTTCCAAGGGGAAGAAATCGGGCTTATCACAGATTTAGAGTTGTAAGGGACCTCAGAGATCATCTTGTCCATAGTACTTTAAAATATATACATACATATAATGTGTATGTGTGTATATATATACATATATATAATGTGTATGTGTGTATATATATACATATATATAATGTGTATGTGTGTATATATACATATATATATATAATGTGTATGTGTGTATACATATACATACATATGTGTATGTGTGTGTATATATACATATATATAATGTGTATGTGTGTGTATATATATATATGTGTGTATATATATATGTGTGTATATATATATATGTGTGTATATATATATATATATGTATATACATACATGCATACACATATATATATATATAAAATCTAAAGCCCTGAGAAGTCAAATGACTTGCCTGAGGTGACTCACACTATAAGTGGTTGAGATAGGATTTAAACTCAGACCCTCTGATGCTAAGCTCTTCATACTTTCCACTATAAATACATTGTGTACCCAACCTTCATTTGTTTTCACCCATCTTTGCTAGAAGCTGATAAGGGAGGTATGCTTACTCTTTGAGAAAAGGAGGTAGAGGGGACATATTCTAATGGAGCTACGTGGAGGTTCTAAGCTCTCAGTCTGCTGAGAAGCCAGGATAGAGCTCCTGCCTTTACTCACTTAAGAAAGAAGGAGCCTGGAGCCAAGGAAGATTGATGGAGGAGAAATCAAGTAAGACACATTTTCTCATTGAGGGAAAAATTATAGCTGTTAGTTTGGACCACGCAAATAGTATATGTGTTCCATGAAATACTTTTTTTTTAAACAAAGTATTTCTAATAGTAATCATGTTGTTGTTCAGTCATTTCAGTCATGGCTGACTCTTCATGACCCATTTTCGGTTTTCTTGGCAAAGATACTGAAATAGGTTGCCATTTCCTTCTCCAGCTCATTTTACAGATGAGGAAACTGAGGCAAATAGGGTTAAATGACTTGCCCAGGGTCACATGGTTAGTCAGTGTCTGAGACCAGATTTGAACTCACATTTCCCTGACTCCAGGAATAATAATAACAGCTTGCATTTGTATAGTGCTTTAAAGCTTACAAAATACTTTACACACATGATTTCATTTTACTCTCAGAACAACCCCGGGAGGTAGGTGCTATAATTATCCCCACTTTACAGATGAAGGAACTAAAACAAAGAGAGGTTAAGTGAGTTGCTCAGAATCACACAGCTAGTAAATATCTGAGGCTGGCTTTGAACTCTAGTCTTCCCCACTTCCAGTCAAACACTTCATCCATTACATGACGCTGCCTCCCAGGGCAGTGAGTTTACTACATATACTTGACTACACCCAGAGCCTAATGCAGCATCTTGCTCATACTTGGGACTTAAAGATTATTTGTTGAATGAATGAGAAGACATTATGCCTCCATTCCTGAGTTGTGGAGGATAAAGAACAAATATAACTCGGTCTAGAATATAATTAAGTGCTAAATAATGTGGTAGAAATTAGTATGGGTAAAACTGGCCATCTTCTATACTCAGAAAGGCACTGAATATCTTTGTGAACTGGAGTTTCTTTCTTTGTGGAGTCAGCCACACAGGAAGGAGGGGGAGTGTGAGTAGGGGTGCAGGTGGGATGAGGGATTTCAGCCTCCAGCTTCTGATTATTTAGCTGGTTTTGAAACAGGGAAAGTGTGATTTGGGGAAGCCATCATACACACTTTTCCTTACTTCTCTATTTGAATGAATGAAAAAAAGCATTTCTTAAACACATGCTAAGCACTGTGCTATGGCTAGTGTGTTTTTGAGCCATCTGTCCAGAGGATGAGGTGCTTGTGGCTTGCTATGCAGGGCTTCCTTTCTTGTCTGAGTAAATTAGTGGAAATTCCCTTGTGAAATTTGGCATAAAAGAAGGTTTGTACTCCTGGAAGGAATAAATCTCAGCCTATTGTTAGCTTCTTTTCAGAATTTCACTCTCTGACAGTTCATGTGATCAATTCAAATCCATTTTAAACAGCATTTAATAAGTGCATACTATATTCAAGGCACTTTGTCCCTATCCTTAAGGAGCTTACACTCACAGAATTAGAGAATTAGAGCTGGAAAGGACAGTAGAGGTCATCCAATTCCTCATTTTTGTGGATGGAGAAACTGAAATCCAGAGAGCTAGAAAAGTGACATGTTCAAGGTCACAAAGGTAAACTGGAGAGTTGGAATTTGTATTAAAGTAGTCTGACTCCAGAGTCAATGTTCTTTCCATGGATCCACCCCATTTCCTTGTCTACCTGAAGGAGCAGATACAGCTTTTAGCACCTAAAGGTGATGCTCAGGTAGAGTTGGGAATAGGCAAAGTATGTGTGTGTGTGTGTGTGTGTGTGTGTGTGTGTGTGTGTGTGTGTGTGTGTGGTGGTGGTAGGTGGGTGTATGTGGGTAGTGGTGAGGGGTGTGTGTACATGTGTGTGTGGGGGAGTGATGGTGGGTGTGTATAGGTGTGTGTGTGTGTATGTGTATGTGTGTGTGTGTGTATGTGCGTGGTGGTAGTGATGGTGAGGAGCATAAATGAACAGTGTAGTCACCAGAAAGAAAGAAGGTAAAAACCAGATGAATTCCACACAGTATGGTAACAGTGCTTCATTATTCAGAGCCTCTTAAGGAGAAATTTTTAGTCTCTAAGATCTCAGGTTTAGAAATGAGAGGATTAAGAAGGGGGAGGAAAGGGGTGGGTGGGTGGAGGGGTTCTTTGGTTTGCTTGGGGAACAAATACCTACACGGGGGAAAATGTTGCCGTGTTGTCTGCTTATTGTCATGCCCTTTCCACACCTCCTCCCCAAATCCACCTCTCTCTCCTTCGGTTCCCCTCCCTTCCAGTCTTAGGAGAGCCTCCAGATCACTATGTTGATTTCCTTACCATCTGGGGTTGCATTAAGCACCTTCTTCACATGCACCATCCAGCCTATTACAAAAAGAGCTCACTTCTAGGCAACCATGATCAATTCCTGACGAAGGAGAGCTTCTAATTAGAAGTGGAGCCTGTGGGGTTGGCGTTATTGGTCCCTCATTTCCTCAAAGTGATAAATTTAACATGAACTCTGGGGCCTTGCCAGCCTCAGCTCCGAGAGGGTTGTGGGTCACAGGAATGCAAAGTAGAACCGTTTCCTCTGCCCTAACTGTTAGCCTGGCTTCTGGGAAGTCAAATCCTGTGAGAAGGGACGGAAGCAATAGGGGAAAAGAGTCTCTCTTCTCCTAATGGGGAGGCCTTGCTGATCCCCTCCCCATGTAGAGAAAGCTCCTTTTTGCAAAGAGAAATAGCACATGTTATTTCATTTGATAATTACAACAAGACTAAGAGGCAGGTGTGATTATTGCCCCCATTTTACATATAAAGAAACCGAGACAGTGGTTAACTGACTTGTCCAGGGTCACACATTTGAACTAAGATCTTCCGAACTCCAAGTACAACATTCTATCTATTGGGCTACCTAGCTAACCCATTTGTTATGAGGGTTTTCTTTATCTTTTTTTCTTCTGGGGGAAGAGGCGATAGAAGGGAGAAAAAAAATACTTCTTAATTTAAAAAATTAATTTTAAATTAAAATTTTAAGTTAATTAAAAAATAAAACAAACAAAAAACCCAAAGAGAAATAGTATGCCTGCTGGCTGCCTTTGTTAGAAATGCATTTCTTATCACAGTGACAGCTCTGGCTAGCTGGAGAGATGAACAAAGTTCCCGCCAACAGGCAACCTCGCCTCTATGCTAGTAAGTTGGGCAAGACTGCCTGCTGCCCTCTAGGAGGAAGGCATGATCATTCTCCAGCTCCATCTCCAGACTGGCTGGTCCCTTGAGATGGAGAGCACAGCACCTGCTCACAGCTGGCCGTAGAAAGGGTCCTTCCTTGCTAGAGCAGCCAGTGTGTCAGTGAGAGAGCTCTTAATGTTTTCCTGGGGGAAAAGAAATGAGGGAAAGATTCTGCCCTAGGGCATCAGGAAGGTCTACTCTCTGGCTCCTGTGCCAGGCTCTCTTTCTGCTGCCTGATCCCATTTCCCGCCCCCCTCCCTTTTTTTAAAGTATCACTTCTTTCTCCACCTGTCACGGGATAAAAAAGTCAGGCATTACAGAAGGGTAGTCTAGTGAAGTGAAACGAAAATAGAATAGAAAATCAGAATGTTCTAGGGTTCCCTTCTCCCTCCCCTCCCACCCATAACCACTTAAAAAAAATTTTGGAAAGAAAAAAGCCATACATAATAAAAGACAACTCACCTCTGCTCCATCTGCGGGCCAGGGTAGCTTGAGCATTGTAATATAGCAAGAGAAGCATTAATGTCTTCCAACACATCTTTTACTTCAAGTGAAAAAACACCTTTAAAGCTACACAGAACCCCAATATCTGTGGGTGTTGCAGCATATAAGTCGACTAAGAAGTGTGTATCTATCTTATTGCCCTTCCCCTCTCAGAAATTGAGAAACGCCTTCCCCTTTCCTTGGAAGGAAGGACCTGCCTGCCCTCCTGGGTGGGACAGAAGTCAGCACCTCTTAATCCAGCTCTCCCTGGAATTGGGGGACTCCGCTTTCACAGACAGACTCTGTTTTTGAGCACATCTGGAGTGACTCATGGGGCATGTGATTTCCTTGGCAGAAGGGTGGATAAATATAATTTCTGTACTTAAGTTCCATGTGTTGGATGGACCCACTGGAACTTTTCTTTAGCAAATAGACACAGGGAACTTCTTTAAGGAGCCTGGTGAAAGGTTGTCTCAGTTCTTCAAGGTTCCTGGGACACAGTAGCAGGAAATGGAGAGAAGATGAACAAAGATGCCTAGTCTAGGATGGAAGTATCATAGCTTTGGGGATTTTCAGCAAATTGCCCTCAGGACAGTGAAAGCATTTCGTCGCCTGAGGCAGGATGTCAATTAGATATTTTTCTCTAGGGACAGAACTAGGAATTTCTTTGCCTGGGGCCAAGCCTGAGAGCTGTTTCCTAGAGTATGAAAGGGAGGAAAGTTCCTAACTTTGTCATCAGGCTTCAGTGAAAGAGAAGCTCTGATGAGAGGCATCATGGTATTGTGGACAGGGTATTAGGCTTGGAGTCAGAAAGTCCTGAGTTCAAATTCCACCTCAGACACTTATTAGCTCCTCGAGCCTCGGCACACTTCTTGGCCTTAGCTTCCTTATATGTAAAATGGGGGAGATGAGTTGACCTCTAGGACTTCTAAGGCCTAAATCTATGATCTTATGACAAATGAAGATAACAGATGTTGAACAAGTAACCTGATGCAGTGGTGTGCTGAAAAAAAAATGTACACAGAGCCCACATTTTCTCCATTACTTTCTTGAGTTGAGAGTACAGAGTGCTCTATAGTACTGGGCTTGGAGTTGGGAAGAGCTGTGTTCAAATCCAGCCTCAGACGCTAGCTGGGTGATCTTGGGCAAGTCACGTAACTGCTATCTGCCTCAGTTTACTCAACTGTGAAATTGGGATAGTAGCAGCATGTCCCATGCAAGGTTATTGTGAGGATTAAGTAAGATGATATTTATAAAGAGCTAAATGATCATTCACTTCACTTCAGTTTGGATTGTCAACAAAATAAATCAAGCCCTGATTTGTAGAATTTGCCAGGTTTTGCAGTATAAGTGTTCCCACCGAAATTTTAATGATCAGCTCTCTGGAGAGCCATATGAGCTGGCTCCAGCATGGCCCTACTTAGAAATAGCCTAGATCGGGGAGTGCCTAAAACGAACTTCTGGTCAGTGCCTTCTGCCCTTCTCCAGTCCACTTGGGCTATGATTGTATGACTGTCTTTTCTATCTGTCTAAATGATTGGGATTTAACATTTTTATTGGATTTTAAATGATTTGATTTAATGTTTATTTAAAAATTTTATTTTCATGTACTGCTACAGAGGATAGAACACCTTTTATTTCCTGTCTCTGAATTCCCAACTCGTATTTATAAACAGCATAATTTGTCCTTCATTTTTCCCTTTTGCTTGTGTTACTATATAGCTAGCATTTATCTATTTATGCCTATATAAATGCATTTGACACTTCACAAATATTTATATTTGACACTTTACAAAACACTTTACAGATATTATCTCATTTGATCCTCATAACAACCATGGAAGAGAATTGCTATTATTATCCCTGTTTTATAGATGAGGAGATTGAGGCACAGAGCGGGTAAGTGACTGGGGTCACATGATTGATAAGGGTCTCAAGTTGGATTTAACTCATGTTTTTGACTCCAGGTCCAGCACTCTAGCCATGGTACCACTGAGCTGCCTGGTGGCAGGTATTTTTTTTTAGTAACATTATTGTGTTAAATTACAATTGTATTATTATTATTATTTTATAATATTAGCTATGTTTTAGGCTGGTCTCCCTGGCTAGACTATAAACTCATCAAAGCTTGCCCCCTAACCAGCGTCGGGCATGTGCTTGGTGCTCGGTAAAAACACAATGATTGATTGAATAAGGGCTTATGGAGCTCAGGCTTTTTCAGTTCTTTACCTAATAGATCTTAGAGGAAATAAGAGAGCTAGTGCACATAGGGACGCAGGGAGCGAAGAATATGGATAACTTACTCCAATTTCCATCCCGGCAGAGTCAGGACCCAACTTCTGTGATTTTTTTCATCTGGTCAGACATCTGGTCTGAGTCTCTAATCTACCATTTGTCGTTTACTTAACCATTTCTGTGTCTGTAGCTAATTTATGATGAGCTAAGGAGTCATTTTCTCCTACTGCTATGATCTGCTATATGCAGTATATTGCCATAGTTTCCAAAGGTGGGTAACATAAGTCATGGGAAATTCTGGCATCATACATCTCCTCTTGCTTCTCACTTCAGTCTTGGGTATAGGGGTAGAGACTGGGAAAGAAAAGCACACTAATACCCTTTTGTGACATAATAAGAGTCCATGAATTTATTAGAATCTTTCAGATTTGTTGGATATCATGAAAAGTGATTGAACTTGGTCAAATCTAGAAAAAAAAATCCATGGTTGAGGTGACAAAAATTTAAAGGCATTTTTAAAAGAGGTAGCGAGCAAAGGTGGCAAGATTCCAGAAGTATGGAAAAGATTCCAGATAGTGCTATTAAAAAAAACAAACAAACAAACACCAAAATACAAGGCTCCCATCAGCCACTATGAGCATACATGGCTGCTTTCTTCAAGTATCAAAACAGGTCTCTATGAGAATGGTTTATTGCACATATTAAGGCCAACCTTGATGAAAACATGAGAAAGGAACAAATTGGCTTCCACAGATGCTTTTATATATCAGACCACATTTTGTGGTCATACATTTGACGGATGGGGGTGTAGAGAACAGAAGATACTACTGGTCTTACTGTTTCTTGATTTTTTTTTTTTTGGCAATTGGGGTTAAGTGACTTGCCCAGGGTCACACAGCTAGTAAGCGTCAAGTGTTTGGTCTGAGGCTGGATTTGAACTCAGGTCCTCCTGACTTCAAGGCCGGTGCTCTATTCACTGCGCCACCTAGCTGCCCTGTTTCTTGATCTTAAGAAGGATTTGATTTAGTAGAGCAAATCTAGCTCTTCTCTGTCACAGTGTCTTCTGTTCATAGATCAAAGGTGAATGTAATAAGGGTTCCTGGGCTTTCTCTCTTTCCCAAGCCTCAAGATTCTTGGGTACCCTGAGGGGTTGGAGTGTTGCTTCCTAATGACATCTACTAGATGAGAGCCCCTAGCAGCCGGTGTTCTCTCTCTTTTAGGGACCTAGTTTATTTAACCACTCAACATCAATTAGATTTTACAAACATACATTGAAGAAATACACATTTTCTCTCCACACCTGGCAGCATGCTTTCCTCTATACTGCCTTAGTCTCTAGCAAGAAGGCTTAAGACCAAGCTGAGTTTCCACACAGCCTTGATCCCAACCAAGTTCATTTCCAAAGGCACATCGCTACTGTATGAATCCTCAATTTAGCTGCCAATGGCCTGGGTCTAGAAGGTCGCTTTTTGTTTCTCTGGGCATTGATGCTGGATTGGTTGTAACATGGCCTGGAAACCAGGCTCTAGAGTGACGGGGTGCTATAGTACTCTCAGGATAACCTTTTGAACTGACAAAGTCATAAACTTCCAGTCTCTCTAATAATAATAATAATAGCTAACATTTATGTAACTCCTACTATGTGCTAGGCACTGTCCTAAGTGCTTTACAAATGTCTCATTTGATCTTCACAACAACCCTGGGAGATAGGTGCTATTATGATCTCCATTTTACAGATGAACTTAGGCAAAAAGAGGTTAAGTGACTTTCCCGGGGTCACCTAGCCAGTAAATGAGTGAGGTTGAATTTGAACTCAATTCTTCCTGACTCCAGGCCCAGCATTTTGTCCACTGTGCCACCTTGCTGCCTTATTTTTATCCTAGAGTAGAAAAGAAGAAACAGAAAAACCAAGGACTGAGGTCATATGGCCTCAGAGGAGAGAAGGATCTAAAGCTTTCCCCTTTACTGCATGATCAATCACTAGATACGGTGAGTAAAAGATTCACTGAGCTCCTCCAGATGTGAATGAAACCAAGAGGCCGTGGTTGATGTTGGTAGGTCCAATCCAAGAGCCTCCTTTCTACCCTATGGCTAGCTGAGCATTCCAGTTAAGGAATGTCTACACATGGTACGCAGTTTCTTTGTAGATCATGTCATTCCCTTACATGTCATCATTATTTCCCCAGAAGTGAGCTCCTCTGTGGGGGAGACGTATCAACCAAGCAAGTTGATGGGGTCTGTGCACCCTCTAGACCTCCATTACATAAACAAGATTATGAAAGATATAACTACAGAGACAATGTTCATAATCCACTGCACATTTGCTTCAAGTGAGAACAGTTGATACACTCCTCCCTCCTCCCTCTAGCTTCACTCCCCCTGACTTTGTGACACCCTCTCCCCCCAGTACATACAAAGAGTCTGGAGGGCACACCTAGCAGAGGGGTAACTCAACTCCTGGCTGCGGGAAGTCCTTTTTTCCTTCTTGTGGGCTACACGTGAAGTCCCCCCCCCATCCCAAGAAGATCCCCCGTGGCATGTTTTAGTACTCTGTTAGATTTTTAGTGGCGACTTGAAACTTCTTTTCCTTTTCATGTCTACTCAGCCCTTGGCTGTCAATGCAGGCACTGCTTCTGGCTACTACTGTTCCAGGGGTACTGCAAGGATGCTGATGGAAAGCCTGGGTTCTCTGACACTCTGAAGTTCACAAGCTCCTCCTCTGACCAAAGCAGGAGGGTTAGGGCAGGAGCCTGAGACTGAGGCTGAAGTTGGGGCTCTTGTCCCCCTGCTCCAAGCGATCCCTTCTCGGGGGCTTGTCAAGAAGGCTTCCACCACTTTAGTTGCCAAATGGGCTAATACTCTGTGTTTTTTAATCTTTTAAAAAAATTTTGTAGATGGTTCACAGGGCATGCCCAAGTTTCCTCAATCAATCTGAACACACTTCCTAAGCAACGTAACTCCCGTTCATGCAAATAGCTCTCAAAGACATCTAAACTGATCAAAGTATTTCCCCAATGTACTCTAAAGCCTATGGTCTGTTCACTTCAGAAGTTTTCTTATTTGGTTAAGATATCAGAGCAAAGCATCTTATCACTTAAGGGGGTGGAGCAATTGATTTATTGACTTGTTGGACTTCCAGGTCACACATACAAATAGTTGATGAATTAATTAAAAACCATCATTAACTGTTTCCTAAAACTGGTCCCCTGAAAACCCACTATTTGACAATATCTGTCCTCCCTAGAAAATTTCCTGTGCTCCAAAATTTTT